ACAGGTTTAGTTCTCACTAAAATTGGCCTATTCTATTCTCTGTATTTATTTACACCTAGAGTACATAGGACCTACTGAAGGACTATACCAGTCCGAAAAGTCATGTACCACTCTATGTTCTCTAACAACGGAGTTAACAGTTAATTTTTGAATCTCCAGCAAATTTAAATAGCATCCAAAATCCTCCTTTCTGGAATATAAGGAAATAGATAGTACTTTATATTTGTTGGATCGATTGTAACTCCTGATTGTAGCAACCCCAAAACGAATGGCACTTCAGAATACAGTACAGTATACCAAAACTTCTCTCAAATTTTATATCCTATCGCGTTGTTTGTGTTATAAGTTAACTTCATTTATTTATATTTTATTTTCTTTTAAGCATACAGGTTTGGAATATTTTTAAATCCTTAAGTTAAATTAACTAAAGCTTACTTTTTATTTTCAATAAAAAATAAATGCGATCGTTAATATCGATCTTGGTACAATGTAAACCTGTAATCATATGACTACTTATACAGAATTTTACTATAGTATAGGCCTAGACTAGGAACAGGCCTCCTACTATAGTATAGAGGCCTAGTCCAAGACCTTGTTGCAAATCCCAGCCCACGTAAGCCTAACCTATAATGCCAAGCATAGGGCTCGTGATCGCAGTACCCTGACCGTTAAAAATTAGCAGACGCACTGGGAAGCGTTGTTCACGGCATTGGACTGCAGCGAAAAATGATTCCCCCATCATTAATGGAACAGGCCCACGTCATGCTTGGCTGATTAGTTTTGATTTACATTTCGCAAGTCTAGTGCCATACGCAGCAAAAGTCCGTTTCTAGTGTTGTTGTCAAATACATTTCAAACCAGGTTGGTTTTTGATTTACGTTTTGGAATAGAATTTGGAGAGGGCGTTTGATCAAGTCAGACCTACGTTTTGAATTTGAATTACATTTTAAAGAAATTAGAACTACATTTTGAAAATTTTGAACTACGTTTTGAAAAATTAGAACTTCATTTTGGGAAACCAGATCTACATTTTGAGAAATTTACGCCTACGTTTGGATAAATTATACATTGAATTTTGCAATTACATTTTGATTTTAACATGGACTTTTGCTGCGTATGGCACCCCATATCATTCAACTAGAGCACAGCCCATTAACACCGCGATAAACAAGTACAAACAAAATCGATAAAAATTAAAATTTAAGCAATTTCATTACAAAACTGGAAAATAGATAATTCATAAAAAAGAAAAAGAACAGTCTGTGTTCTAAGATGTATAAAACAGTAAGAATAATGCGATCCGGTGACCACACCCCATGGACCAATATATCTTAATTAATAATTTTGAAAGAATATGGCTCAATTTATTGGACATTTTTACAGTAATAGTTGTTAAATAATGAATAACATAATTTTTTTTCAGAACAAGAATGGATCATTATTTGACTTCTCGTTCACTTTTGGTAGGCCTGGTCAAAGTACTAATTTGTCTACCAATAATCCTGGCTACAACAACCGCAACAAGTGAACAAGAAACTACACCTTATTCTTGCAATATGTGCTGTCAAGGGCCATCTGGCAACCTGGCATCAGGGTTTGGTGCACCTGGAGCACCTGGTAGTAAAGGTGCAACAGGAGCTAGAGGACAAAAGGGAGATCCTGGAAATGAGGGTGTAAAAGGTGACAAAGGAAGCGAAGGATCTCAAGGTAAACAAGGTCCACTTGGACGAACAGGACCGCTGGGGGCTAAAGGAAACAACGGATCACAAGGAGAAAAGGGCGAGCCAGGATTGAATGCCTCACAATCACGTAAATCTGCATTTACTGCATTGCGCACAACCAATGTACTAACTTCAGAATCGAGCATCCCATTCACACTGATGGAGATTAATATCGGAAATGACTTTGACAAAAATACAGGAAAATTTACGTGTAGAATTTCTGGCGTGTATTTCTTCATGTTTAGTGTTCGGTCTCTCACTTCTTTTAACCCCTATGTGAAAATGATGTTAAACGGTCGTGTAATCACAACTGCGCATAACAGTGACTCCAATCCTTATGATCAGATAAGCTCTGGCGCAACAGTTGAACTGAATGTCGGTGATCAAATTTGGTTGACGAACGAACAAGCAAAACTCGGTGGTAATTCCAGGCATCCTTTTACATTCACTGGCTTCATGTTATACGATATGGACTAGTGACTCGTACAAAAAATCGAAATGTTTTGTATTACTGTTGTATATGAGTATCATTAAATATGAAATTATTATACTTAGGCTACATTCAATTCATATTTTTAGGGAAAAAATGCATGTGTTTCATTATTTTAACGCGCCTATAGCTTAAAACAGAAAGTGTAGGCCTACTAATAGAAACAAAACATAATTGTTTGAATTCCTATTGAAAAATTACAAGACAATTTTTGAAGTGATTGAAGTTTGAAATGTGTGTAGTTTTAAGTACTAATAATAGGCCTATTATAAAATCATATACCCTTTTTGATGGAGTTTACAGTTGTTTTCTCCTTACTATCAGCTTATATTTTATGAGAAAATATACAGGTTTTGCATTCACTTTCAATCTGGGCCTCCCAGTTCACTTTGATTACAAATATTTTCAATATTTCTTTTTTATATTAAAGGTTACAAGCTATTATACATTGCTACTACTTAGACCTGTAGCACGCATGGAAATGTTCTGATCTGCTATAAAAAATTTAAAAAAAGAAGGAAGAACAGATTGGGCAATGCTTTGTGACATTTGCTCCATTCATACAAACCATCAGATCTGCACATTCTTTGCATAAATCTGATAAATTTGTAACCAAAGATATCCATCTAATGTTTGAAATGATTCATTAATTTACATTGCATACAAAAATCTAATAAGAAATTGTTTACAAAACGATCCTATTTGAAAAATAAAAACTATCTTTCTTTCATATCAATATATTTAGTAACATATTGTGTAAATAAATTTGCTAAAGGAAGCATGTGTTGTTTATGCTGACATGCACCTTTTCTGATAATGTTGGCAAACTGGGCATTGAGGAAAACATTAGCTATAGGGAGATTTACTTTGTAGGCCAGATTTCAGCTATACTTGCAAAGATTAACGAACAAGCCTATATAATAAAGTGACAGTGATGCAAGAAGAAAGTTTTGTGCCAGTTAATTTCAACAAAAGCATTCCCACGTTCTTATAATAGATGAAGTATCTTAGCAACTAACGCTATATTTATTTACCAATACCAAACACTGGAGACGGTGACGTGAAATAAAAATCTTCCTTCAGTTCATCTAAGCGAGTCACGGTTGCTGTATATTCCAAGAAGTCAATTGCAGAAAACTAGGTAAGCTTTTTGCAAAAATTAGAGAAAGTATCTAAATCGTGTCATTACACATAAAAAATACTTTAATATCTGACAAAAAACCGTGATAGAAATATATAGTACTATCAAAGATGGACAGCATCTCTTGTCTTAGCTCTTTTTTTGTGATTACACATACGATGTGATTACACATACGATGAAATGGGGCATAATTGCACGTCACAATGGAGCAAACTCTCAATCTTGCTTCAATACTTAACTTATTTTCCATAAATATATTTAAATTATATCAAAGTAACACATCCTAATCAATAAGTACTAAAACACATTTGGTTTTGCGAATCTTTTGACTCTCGCGTCCTTTCTCTCCATTGAAAAATAAAATTCCAACATCTACACTGCAGTGGGCATATTTAGGTTTCAAATTTCAATTTATGAGGGAGGCCTAGGTATATACTGATACTGTGGAGTGAATCTACAATAGGAAATATCGTAAAAACAACTCGTAACTCGTAAGAATAGGCCTATTCACTATTTATGGGACATCTGCGAACTGAGAATGATTAGGTCAACGGTTCTAAGAATATGCACGTCAAGGAGATCATATGAAAAGAAAAAGGGACAGAAAAAGCAGACGAATACTCACTGGATTCAAAGCACAGCACACCGGCTGTTTTGAACAAGTGCAAAACAAAATAATTATAAATTATCAATCTATATTCATTTCATCATAAAACAGTAAAATAGATAACTTGAATATAAAATTAAAAACATGGAAGAACAAAAGAACAGTTTGTGATTAAAGATGTCGGGAAAAGGAGGCATAATTAATGTGATCCCATGATCACACGCCAATAGAAATCAATAAATTTTACTTAACAATTCATTTCAAAACATGCCAAATTTAGTAAACATTTCGATAGTAATAATTACTAAATAATGAATAAATTATGTTTCGGGAGAACCTGGAAATGAGGGCATAAAAGGTGATAAAGGTAGCGAAGGATTTCCGGGTAAACTAGGTCCACTTGGACTAACAGGACCTCTGGGGATTGAAGGCCTCACAATCCCGTAAATCTGCGTTTACTGCGTGGCGCACAACTCATGTAGAAACATCAGAATCGATCATCTCATTCACATCCATGAAGATTAATATCGGAAGTGACTTTGACAAAGATAACGGAAAGTTTACATGTAGAGTTCCTGGCGTGTATTTCTTCATGTTTAGTGTTCTGTCCTTCGTTCCCTCTCTCCCATATGTGAAAATGATCTTAAACGGTCATATAATCGCATCTGCGCATCGTAATGACCCTAAATTTAATGATCAGATAAGCTCTGGTGCAACAGTTGAACTGAATGTCGGTGATCAAGTTTGGTTGCAGAACCAGAGAACAAGACATTATGGTGATTCCGACCACCCTTTCATATTCACTGGGTTTATGATATACGATATGGACTAGTGACTTCTGCCAAAAATCGACATGCTTTGTATAATTGATTATTTTATGAATTCTATTAGAGAAATTCAAACTAAAATATATACAAGAAAAATATTAGGGGCTATACTTAGGCTAGGCCTACGGTTATATGTTGAAGCAACAGTGTAACAATTTGTTTTATCAATAAAGCGCATTAGGATTAAAAAAGAAAGGATATATTATAGAAATATATAAATTCATCAGAAAACTTTTTTAGATTTTGAATCTCCTTTACAAAAGAAAAAGAATCGTTATTTATGTAATCAGAAAGTAAGTTGGGACTGATCATTTCACAAAGAGTGAAATCAACAGATACTGTAAAGTTGTTATGTTCCCGATAGGCCTATTGTTTCTTGATTATATTATTCTATATTCGTTTTCAAATTTGAGCTTTCAATTGGATGCAGATAGAATACTATGAATATGGTAACTTTAAGGTGCAGGCTGTACGGTATCGATTAGAATCCAATATGAAATTATACAAACCAAGAAATCCCCATGGTTAATGGTCAAAATTAACAAGATTTTATTCATACGAAGTAACACATACACTAGGCATATATACAGTACTAATACCCATTCAAAATATTGAGAGGAAAACACTCTGGTTTAATGAAAAGCTTATTGCTCAAAAGGTGTCAAAATATAAAATTGAATTATTTTTTTTTCTTATTTAGTGAATACTGTAGTTGTTTTTAAGTGTCCATTTATAGGGGTTAAATTGTATTGATTTGACCATTTTGCACATTCACAACGTGTCCCGTCCCCTTAATAGGGATGTCCCCTTAATAGAGGTTAGTTCGTAGTGTTAAAAGGTATATTTCCACTCGTTTCCCCTTAATTGGGACAGTGTCCCCTGAATAGCTGTATCCCAAGAAATGTTCTACTGTAATAATAATAGTGAACAAAAACAGCAATAATAACAATAACAATATTGATAATATTATTAACAACAACAATAATAATAATAATAATAATAATAATAATAATAATATTATTATTAATAACAATAATATTAATAATAATAATGATAGTAACAATAATAATAATAATAATGATATTAATAATAACAATAATATTAATAATAATAATAATAATAATAATAATAATAATAATAATAATAATAATAATAATAATAATAATAATAATAATAATAATACACTTTTATTTATTTTTTTAATTTAAAACATCTTTAGGCAGGATAACATATACAGGCGAGATCATACCGCTGTTTTACTATATGGTCCTACAAATACATAGTACAATAACAACAAAAAAAAACTAACCAGCACAGTACAACAAAATAAACAACAGTTAAAACTTTGGTGGAAAACTATCCCCCGCCGGACACCAACCCGGTACTTCTGAGTCAAGGTTTCGGGGACAGGAATTACGGCTCAAGGTTAGGCTTAACTACAACTTAACTACAATATGGTAAAAACTATCCCCCGCCGGACACCAACCCGGTATTTCTGAGTCAAGGTTTCGGGGCCGGGATTACCAGGTAGGACAAATACTGTACAATTACTTAAATATATAAAAATGGTAGAAACTATCCCCCGCCGGACACCATCCCGGTATTTCTGAGTCAAGGTTTCGGGGCTGTCACAACTTTTATCTTAACTACAAACCTAACTAATCAATGGTAAAAACTATCCCCGCAGCTTAATGCATATTTTCTAGTCACTTTACACCTAATTACTACTAACAAAAATTACGTCGCAATTGAAATTCACTCTAGTTCTGCTGACCTAAGCATCAATGAGTTTAGTCAAATCTGATTTATATTGTTATAAGGTAATTGTAGTGTGAATTAAAATTTGAAAACATGTTTATACTTTAAAGAAAGGCAAAACAACATATCAAGATTTTCTATTTATTAAACACATACGGACAAATCTTAAGTTGACCATGAAAGTCGGCGCCATGTAGAATGGCAACGCTGAGCCGCCCGGCTTGCATTTTAATTCCTCTATTGTGATTTTTCTGAACAAATGTCTATTTGTTGGCTTCGTATGTATTAAAAAATTACAGCATTAATATGAAGATTGTAAATATGTTTTTATGATATCCTGTTTATGAGGGTAATGCCGGATGCTTGCCCTTGGGTAAACTTCTTATATAAAGGTAGATAAAAGTTGCGATGTATCACACAACTGCTAAAACTAGCTTCAAGATAAACTACAACGACTCGTCATCCATCACACCACCGCCAAGCAAGAATCATGAAGACCACAAGCCTTATATTCATCTTTATCATCGGAGGTAAGCTTATACATAACTATTTGTAAAATGCTTTATGTCTATAGGTCTTGTTACATATTGACTTTCAAAACATGATTCTCTTATACCTGTCTCTTATACACATCTAGATGTGTATAAGAGACAGATTTATGGGACATCTGCGAACTGAGAATGATTAGGTCAACGGTTCTAAGAATATGCACGTCAAGGAGATCATATGAAAAGAAAAAGGGACAGAAAAAGCAGACGAATACTCACTGGATTCAAAGCACAGCACACCGGCTGTTTTGAACAAGTGCAAAACAAAATAATTATAAATTATCAATCTATATTCATTTCATCATAAAACAGTAAAATAGATAACTTGAATATAAAATTAAAAACATGGAAGAACAAAAGAACAGTTTGTGATTAAAGATGTCGGGAAAAGGAGGCATAATTAATGTGATCCCATGATCACACGCCAATAGAAATCAATAAATTTTACTTAACAATTCATTTCAAAACATGCCAAATTTAGTAAAGAACACAAGTGAAATGCACAGCGAGGGGATTGAAACCCCGACCTTGAGGGTTGGGAAACCAAACCGTTCCCACTGCGCCAAATCACTTCTACCCCTAAAATACTAAAGCCTCTGCTTGAACTTGATCTGTTTTGTTGGCTGTCATATCAGATTTCAGATTTCACATTTTCCTATTTATTAGGTAGGCCTACTCGCTTTTCGAACAGTAGCACACACTAAGTAGTGGTCCGACCAGACAATACAGTAAACATTTAAAGCAATGCAAAAGTAATAGGTAAACAATGAAGATCTTAAATTCGATAAAACACAAAAATATGCAAGATTTACTATCAAAGATGAACCAAAAAACCACAACAACAAAGATGTGTATAAGAGACAGTATATATACACATTTTTCAGTAACTCTTGTCACTATGTCTGACGCCCAAAGTGCAAGCAGCGCTGAATCCGCTGAATCCGCTGCATCGGCCGGCGGTACGTCCGAGCCTATTAGTACCGACGATAGCAGACGTAGAAGAGGTAAGCCTGGATCAAAGGATCATATAACATTATCATGATTGAAAATAAACGCAATAGGCCTATATGCCTAAAAAAAAACTTAATACCAACAACCAATACACTTCTTCCTAATATTGTCAAGTTTTTATCAAAAATGTATTTTGTTTATTAATTACTATATTACTATATTGTATGCCAGTATCATATTACATGATTTTATGAAAGTTTTCAAATATTCGTATTAATTAGTAAGCCTATTTGTTTATAGCTATAGTTAATTTATATCGATATCATTAATTTTTAAAGATGCTGACGTAATGGTTGATAACAACGCTGCTGACAATCTAAGATTCAAACGTGGTAGGTAGCTGCACAAACAATTACACAAATTATTTTTGTTCTTATTTTTATATTATTATTATTATTATTATTATTATTATTATTATTATTATCATTGTTATTATTATTGCTATTATTCTGTTGTTAAATATTGCATTTCACATCAATTTCATTTTAGTATGTCCATTGTTTCTTACTCTCATTCTATTATTTGTCTTACTATTTTTTTTTGCTCCAGGGGTAACAATGCTAGAGAAGGCCCTCCGTAACATCCTGAAAAACTAGATTGACGAAACCAAAAAACAAACAAAAACTCTACAATTAAACTTCGCTACCAAGATATCAGAAGAATTATGCACAGTGTCATTGCTCGAACAACCGAATCAATTTCATTTTTTTTAGAAACGTTGGTCATCCAATCGCGCGAGAAGGAAAAATTTCTTTAAAATTATTTATATTCAATTTCATTTAATAATGTGATTAACATTTTGAGGTCATTTTCATCGTCTGTCAATGTATGATTTTTTTATTGGTTGTTTAGAATGCAATGATTAAACGCACTCAAAAATATTGCTGTATTACGGATGCTTTTTCTGCTGTCATACAAAGTCATATGTCAAATAATAAAACCAAATAATAATGACAATGATGATGATGATGATGATGATGATAATGATGATGATGATTTAAGCCTTAAAGTGCTTTGTTGTGTCGATGCGAAATGAGACATAGGCCTACTACTACTACTAATAATAATATAATAATATGTTAGATTTATATATCGCTTAACGCCAAGAAGGCCTCTAAGCACTTTACATTACTACCCCCGGTCATTGGATTAAACGCCCATGGAACACAAACTCAAGCTCCCTGGGGGAGTCTTCCATAACGTTGCAGCAGCTACATCAGCGAATTTTGGCATTTAACCCTACCAGGTACTCATTTATACTCCTGGGTGGAGAGAAGCAATGCAGATAAAGTGCCTTGCCCAAGAACACAAGTGAAATGCACAGCGAGGGGATTGAAACCCCGACCTTGAGGGTTGGGAAACCAAACCGTTCCCACTGCGCCAAATCACTTCTACCCCTAAAATACTAAAGCCTCTGCTTGAACTTGATCTGTTTTGTTGGCTGTCATATCAGATTTCAGATTTCACATTTTCCTATTTATTAGGTAGGCCTACTCGCTTTTCGAACAGTAGCACACACTAAGTAGTGGTCCGACCAGACAATACAGTAAACATTTAAAGCAATGCAAAAGTAATAGGTAAACAATGAAGATCTTAAATTCGATAAAACACAAAAATATGCAAGATTTACTATCAAAGATGAACCAAAAAACCACAACAACAACAACACAACCACTCGTGTGTATAAATATTAAAGGCACACACACATTGCACATTTGCATACTTGCGAACTCACAGAAGATGCTGTGCATTTCCACGGATAGTTTTTGTTAAACGATCTACAAACAAATTAAAAAGTACTAAATCGATTAGTAAGAAAATATGAAGGGTAAGAAAATATGAAGGGCAAAAAATAAAAACAAATAGTTACAATAGTGGGAAGTAAATGGTTACTTTATAGTACTGTAAATATTATTTATAAACATCCAAGCGTAAGTGAGATATTGTTTACAGTAGAAATTGGCCTAAATACTCGGTTTCATTCTCTAACATGCTATCTAAAAAAGGCGGTGTTTATATTCTAAACAGCCGTTGTCATCCCAAACAGATTAAAAGTCCTATAGTTAAATAGTTTATTTTTTAATTTATTAAATGTAGGCCTATCATCTCTGATTGTTTGTAGACCACGACATTCAAATAGGAAATGGTCAACTTTTTCTTTCCTATCAGATAATTACAAATTTTTCAAAAAACTGAATATTCCTGTGACCACAATCCTTCCTTCAAGTTCTAATGAGTTCGACCTTGCCTTAAATTTTAGATTGACTCCTTTAGTTTGGTCAAGAAAGTACAAATATTGCTCGGCGAATTTTGGTGTTCGCTCTTTCATACCAGTTATTATTATTATGATCTATATTATAAGCATTCAATATGTTACACTGTTGTAGTAAAGATTTGATTGCGTATGGCCATTTCTATTGTAGTATGGCCTTTATATAAACCTAGGCCATCTATAATAATTATAGGTCATGTATTTTTTTTATCTATTGAAATACGACTATCTAAAATACGATAACCATAAAACCAAATAAGTGGAGCCCGCTTGTACAGGATGCGCCCCGGCAGCAATACTGAATATTGTATCTTGGCCCTATACTACCATGACCAGACCATCAAACCTTTTGTCTCTTTTCACATGATTAAATTTTCTGGGCTCCCGGTCTATTTAGTTACGCTTATAACAATAGAGGGCGATCTTTTGGAACGTTCCAAGTTGGTTGAATTTATGCAACGTAGCCAAAACAAGTGCTTTTAACGCTATGGCGTATGTTGATAGTAGCGGTAAATATTATTAATATTATCTTTATTTAATAACAATATATAAAATCGTTTTGAAGGATGTGTTTAAGTGATATTACCTTATGATCAAACGTTAACCAAACATGTTTTAGAAACGGGAATTCATTGAAAAAATACATTATGTAGGAGCTAGGTAGGCCGCCTAACCAAGCCGAATCATCGCGAGGAAGCGAGGGCCAGGAAAGGCGTTTGTACCTACTCTAGCTAGGCCTACATACAGTAATTCAGGCCTAGGCCTATAGGGTTTCGTAATAGACGCTGTATTGCTTTTACCTATTGTGTCCGCTCTGGGCCCAACCGAACTCGGGCCGAATTTTTAAAGAAATTTTAGTCCAGTCAGGAAGTTCTAGGCTAGGCCTAGACCCCTACTAGGCCCAGGCTAGGCCTAGGCCCTAGGCCTATACCCTAGCCTCTACTAGCTATCTAGGTAGGGGGGCCCTAGCCTAGCTAGTAGAGCCTACCCTAATTTTTTTTCCAGAAAAAATTGGTTAAGGAGAGAATGAACTAGCCTAGAGTAGACAAGGAATATTATTTAATAATATAATGGTTTTTGGTACATCATGACTACAGGATAAACAATAGGTATACGTAATTATGAAGATTGGTTTCTGAATAAACTAAACTAGACTTTTACACTACAAAATTTGTTGTCACTCACCGGAGCGCTTTCGCTGAACCAACCAGCGTCTTCAATGGTAACGAAAACCACTGAAGACGCCGGTTGGTTCGGCGAAAGCGCTCTGGTAAGTGACAATAAATTTTGTAGTGTTGATGTTTTTATAATTGTGTTTGTGCTACAGTAGATTTGGGCGGAAATTTGCTAGGAAAATAGGTGCACGGAATCATAATTGCTGCATAATTGCGTTGGTTCATTAAGATTTGGTCCAAGCCTAATTTTCCACAAAATCTGCGTGGAAATTGGCCCTTATTTTCCAAAATTCGCAAACGGATTTCTAAGCGAAATTTTTGCGCGGAGGATATATTCCACATGCAGGCCTTACTATATACAGTCTGGTACATGAGTAAGTGGCTAGGAATACGGTACCGTATGATATCTAGGTAAATGGTGGGTGCGGTGCCCCAGGCCTAAATGTTGCCAACCGTAGAGTACAATTCTATATCATTCCCAAGATAGCATACAGTGTAATTTACTTCTAGACAAATCATACTTTATAAGCATAATAAATATACTTTTATTTTTGTGTTATTTAATGTCACCTTTTTTTTTTACTTTCATAAGGTAATGTCATCGACTCGAAGTCAGTATGGCGACTGTCCATCATACCTGAACTGTTTTGGGGAATCATCAACTTTATAGCATTATTGTGAGTTGAAAAGCAGTATTTCAACTTGATACTGATTTCTGTAAAGAGCGATGATTACAATGTTGATGATGATGAATATGGTGGTAGTGGGGGTACAGATGATGATGGTGAAGATGATTAGTAATAATAGACTTAAATGATAATGACGACAGGACTAAGGATGAAAATGATAATGATAGGAATAATGTTAAAGATACCGATAAGGATGATTATGATGATAGATTATGACAATGACAATGGTGGCAACAACAGCAATGGTGGCAGTGGTAAAGATAATGATGTGATGTTGACAGAGATTTCAAGTTAAGAAAATTTGTAGATGTGAGGCTATTGAAAGCCTATTAAGGTAACTGTAGATGAAGAATATTTATTAAGAGAGCTACAAAAGTGACAAAAAATATATTTTAAATATAGGAAATATATGTATGCATGAGATTTTGGTCCTTAAGCATGAAACAGACCCCGAATGCATGAGTCTCGCACCGACACAAGACTTGGTGTCTGATGTGATGATGGTAAGGCCAAAAAAAAAATTGTTTGTTTGCCCTCCTCCACCTGCCACTAACTTTAAAAAAAAATTTTTCTCTACAAATTAGAAAAAATTTGAGTGAATTTATCTTTATTTCTTGCCAGATGCCCTACAAATTAGTCTAAAGTTGTTGTCTGATGCCATTCATTATTGCCATTGTAGGTCTCTGTGGGTTATTTTTATTCCATCTGATGAGCTATATTAAAACAAAAACAAAAACTTTTTGCACCCGCCCCTTTTTATCATTTTAAAAAAAGACGGGCAAACAAACAATTCATTTTTTTTAGGCCTAATGATGAGATGTTGGTTATGACCAGTGTTTATTCTGATATATTAGTTATTTCCAATTGGATACTATTTTCATTAATAATTGTTAGTATGTTAAAAGTATTGTAGGCCTAATGAAAATATCTGAATAGCAACACCCATTTCTTTTTGTCTTTCATGGCACTGTATCCAGTTTTCAAACAATGTACTCAGTAAGTATTCTGTTCATTTATTTTTAGTAATTGAGTATAAAAGATAATTATTAAGTACTTTTTATGTATCTATTCACAACTAACTGCTATTAAATGACATTTAAACGACTAATGTAGTTTCAGTGGACAAATAAATTCAATTCCGATTCTGAATTATGTACATTATGCTAGTCTAGTTTCTTTAATGATTCTATCAAGGGTTTTTTTGTGACACAGAATTATTAACTGCGATTTCTCCACCGTACACTATATATTGCAAATCACAGAAAAATATATATTGATGCTTATTTCATTACAGCCTGGTTTAACAAGCAAAGGAACTGGCTACACGTCTGACTATAGAGTAAACAGTAATGGACAAGGGTAAGTAACCAATAGTGTTCCATTTTCCCGAATCTTGAATTTTGATGATTTTGTTTTATTATTTGTGCTGTATTATAAAAATACAGCATGGTTTTGAGGACGAAGTAAGGAATTCTACTTTTTAAAGTGTTAAATAATTTGGACTATCAAGCAGTGGCGTAACGCCTATGTGCTCTCATGCAACGGTCCGCAGGCCCCCCCCCCACTAGGTTCCTCGAACTAACACCCTGACCAAAAAGGACTTTGTTGATAAATAACACCATAATGTGTCTCTGAAATCGACTGTAGGGCATATATCATATTATAATTATTAAAGAGAAGGGGCACCGTCGGACCGACCAGGCCCCCTCTTGGCCCAGGATTCGACCCCACAAAATTTGTCCAAAAAAAATTGTCAAAAAAAAAAAAGAAAATTAAAAATGGAGATAAAAATAAAATTATATTCACAATTTGAAGTCTGTGAGTGCCATCTAGACATGCCATAGCAATACTGTACATCTCATCCCCACAAGGGCAACGGCATAATGTGTGTCTGAAATCGACTGTAGGACATATATTATATTCAGTGGCGGAATAATGAGTGTGGGTGGGGGGGTAGCTGCCGGTCCGGGGCCCCACTAAATTTGTCAAAATATTTTTTAACTGGAGATAAAAAGAAAATTCTATTCATAATTTTATGTGTGAAGTGCCATTTCCAGCCATCTAAAGGTGCCATATTTATAAATTTTCTTACTCAGCCCCAACCATAGTGGGTCTGAGGTGGTATAGACTCTCCAACTGTGAAAGTCCCTCCCTGGCCTCAATTTTCTGGATCCATATTATACCATTTATTCGTCGTTAAAAAAATTTAGAATAACAATGCACATCTAAAATCCCACGATGGAATTGGTGACCGGGACCCAAAAACTTCCCCCAGTTTTGGAAATATGCAAGGCCCCCGGCCCCATCGTTACACCACTGCTATCAAGGTCGCAGAAATCAAGACAACCTCACACACTTCTGCGAGCGAGCAAAAATGTTACAGAAACTAACTCATCTTCCAATTTTTGATGTTTTTAATACTAGTAGTATTAATTTTCTTCACTCACCGAGGTCAGCTTGTGTTGTTTATCATCACAGACAGAAAAATGAATTAGATATGTTGAGAAAAACCTTCAAAACTAGACCTCTAAAAAGTGGATTCTTCCAACCAGGACCCATAATAATAATGTACTGTATATAGTAGTATTAATAAAGGAGTATTAATATTTTATTCTACATATAAACTATAATTGATTTTATGTATAATGATATTGTAGCCCTCCAAGACCACCGCCTAGAGGTCCGAGGAGAAGGATGGGAGGATTTGGAGGAGCATCGGCACCTAGAGCTCCGCCTCCAGCTGGTGGTGGATGAGGAAGGTGAGAAAAATAATTCTAAAATATATATTTTTTTTTTTTTTATATTTTTCGGAATATGCCTTTCAATTCAGAGAATTGTAATATTTTGGAATATTTAATTGATGGTGTGCTATTATAGTTGATTATTATTGTTTATTGGTTAACTTTTATATTCCCTTTTTTTCTAGGTAAATGCTTACTCATTTAGAGTAAGCATCCGGTTATGTTCTTCTTTCAGTGAAGAGATTTAAAACCAAAAGGTCTGCTCATTTATAAGCACCTTTGTTTGATACATAATGCATACTTTTAGTATATTATTTATTCAATATTTTACAATTTTATTCTATTGGCCTGCCTGATAACAGTACAGTATATAAGTGACGTCCTTCTAATGAAAATGTTTTGGAACTTCTCCCATGATAAATATAAGTATTATTAAGATGTGATCATAAAAAGTACCTTTACAAAATTCAACCCATAATGATAATATTTTAGTCAAATTAAACAAAAATAATGGGAAAAGATACTATTAAACATAAAAGGGATTAAAACAAAATTTTGTCATTAGTTATATCATTTTTTATTGAAATAGATATGCATTATGTAAACACAGGTGTTTATGTTAATGAGTTGAGTAAAGAGGCTGATCTGATTGGAGTTTAACATAACCTTCGAACCTGTTGCTGCAGTGTGATGTAACCACTGTTGATGATGTTCCGACGGCAAGTCTACAACCGTAGAACCGACGGGACTGATAGTTACAGCAACAAAATAATTCCTTGACTATACACAAAGAGTCTGTCTTTAATTGTTTTTACAGAATTACTAAATTTGTTTCTCCATTTTTACAAAAATACACTCTTTGTTTATAGCCATTTATTTAAGATTCATCTTTGTATAGAAAAATTTAATATTGTAATTTTTGTAAACTGAATATTATATAACATATTTTCCAGATTTAAGAGCTATTCAAAGCAACCACGGAACTACAGGTCTCCCTCCAATTAAAGACCATAAGGGGCCAGGGTTTCTATGGTCTTTTATTAGAATAACAAAGATAATAGATTTGTTAATTTGGAACCACAGAAAAGTGGTCTTTATTTTATTGGAAGGGTATTTAATCAGAGTGACATGTGTAATTAAAAACATACGTTAATGAGAAAGTGCACTAATTAGTAATTTATTATTTTTTTAAACCAAATTTATAGGGAGTGATCCATCCAGCATATCCTAGAAGGTCGACTGATATTCAGGGGCCCTCTTTAAATAAATGAAATAATGTGATGCGAATATCAACGAAGTCTCTTAATGAGGCTTTGGGAGTGGAGTTGAGAAAATGAGAAAATGTCCTGCTGTGACAGGAATTGAATGCAGGACCCAGGGCATTAGAAGGCAAACATCTTAACCACTAAGCTATTCAAATTCAATCCAGTTTCCATAGTTTTATTTTAAATTGTTTATTTATTATACTTTTGGGTTGACCATGTTCCATACAAATAGATTACCTATGTGTTGAATTACCTGAAAAAGAAAATTAAACTAAAATGGTACATTTGTTTGTCTGTATTACTAATGATTCAATTCTATTTCTACCTTATCTATTTAATTATTTTATTGCAATACAGTCACTAGTCTTTAAGATTTGCAATACAGTACGCCATAGAGTACCACAGTCGTGTCGTCATGACGCCAGGTGGCGTTCTCTGTTGTCAACAGATGTACTGTAGGTTACCGTTCATTACGCCTGAATGACTGCATAGGCTTTCTGGAATAGGCATTTTAAAATTTAATATTTAACCATCAAAATGTACTGAAAACACAAAAGCTCGCATTATATTAGTTATCAAACACACATTTAATAATCGTTAGAAATTGGGATCGATGGTTTGTCAGTGGAGAAAATGGCGCCTGGTTGAACGTTTTTTGCAACGATAGCAACAGAGTAGTATCACATGGTATTGTGACGTAACACTGTAGTACTCTATATCCTGTCACTCTCAGGATAAAATGTAGAGTAGGTAATTGTAGAATGTTCAGTCAACACTATCAAATTTCATGTGACAAAAAAAAAGTGATATTTGGGTGTAATATAGGCACTCAAATTTAATAGTGTGGACAGAGCTTTATTTTGAGAGGACACCGAGATTTGTATATATAATATTCCGGTAATAGATTAGTAAATAAAACAAAACGTAAATAATTGTCAGTGTAGTTTTATTAATTTTCATTTTCTGTTCAAAAATTTACTCCAGAAAGACAGGCAGCACTGTGATGAGAAATCCGAAATTCCTGACTGGGGTTCCACAGAGCAAATTTAGGCTCCTCCAAATGTTCGAAAAATGGCACTTTCGGACTGTCAAAAAGTGGTGTTTCTATGACAAAGTTGTTTTAGAGCGTTTACTTACAAAGACGTAGGACCTATGATAGGCCTACTGAACTATCTAAATAGGTAACATGGGAACTGGTGAATGCTACACCAATATTTTGTTATAAGCGCCACTCTTGAATAAGCACCGCACTGAAGCTTCCGAAAACTTTATATAAGCATTCAAGCATTTACTGACACAATAAAAAAAAAGGATTGTTCCTGGGGCGAGTTTTATCCTCGTTGACTTCTATCTGTTCTACAGACTTTCTCTGTTGGTAGGTGGTCGTATGACTTCAGACCAAATTTTATAATTACTGTACAGTACTTGTATATTCTTCACCATACAAATGGGGATCGTTCCCGGAGCACCTTCAACCCCATTGCCTTCCATTCTTTTTGTTTTATCCAAAGTTCTTGAGCAGTGTCAAGGCAACTTAAGACAGCACCTCCTTTCCAAACTGTCAGTCTTGGGTCCATGTCCTAGGATTAAAGCAAAATAATAATCAACCAATCATTATCAGTAGTAATATTATGCAATTGAAATATTGACTCAATGCAGATATGGTTAAAATTCAGGATGCCATGTTTGAAAATTCAAACAGTAAAATACAGTACAATAAAAATAAAGTAATGATAACAAGATAATAGAAAAAGAATTTAAATTTCATTGAAAGAATTAACCAGACTAATAACAGAGGATACACAATACTAACAGAATATTTTTATATTGTAATTTTAAATTAGCAGTATGTTTGTATTTATTTATCTACATTTTTAAAATCAATTTATTGATGTTATTCTCTTTATAACTTTGCGGAATAATAATACGACTATAAATTAATGGTACCTTTGATTTGCATATGACTTCAACCTTGTCAACAACAGCCCTGAAGGAAGGGGGCATTTTACTTTGTATGCGATATTGAAGCATGTCTACTGCCCCCTGGAATAAACCCAAGCCACCGCCAACGACTAGAATACAACTGTACATCTTCTTCTTTGTTTCCTCGGATGCTGCATGTAAAAAGAAATTTTATTTATTTGCTAAAAATGACAACATAAAGTACAATCAAATATTGACTTATCCTGAATAAGGCAACATTTTGTCCATGCACCTTATGAAACTAAAAAAATTGAAAATAAATTTATTTATTTATTGATTTATTATTACTATTATTCATTTATTCATTTATATTCATATTTTTTCCTATACTGTATATTTATGGATATTCATAAATATTTGTGTGGATTTTGTGCATTTTTTGCATGTTTATTTTTGTCATTTTGTAACTATTTATCTAATTATTATTTAAACAATTTTTCTGATGTGTTTCATATTTTTAATAAAGGGCCCCTGAACACCAGCTGGCCTTCTGGGTCCAGTTGGAAGGGTTACCCTCTATAAATAAAGAATAAGGATAACTTTCCTATAGAACAATGTAAAAAGACGACAAGGGTCCCAAATTTTGAGAAGTCAATTTCGTGAGATCTGGTTTAATGCACATGGCAAGCACACTTCAGGGAGGAAACTAATACAGGTCTCCCTCCAAGTAAAGACCACTTTTGGGACTTGGATTTTCCTCATCTTTAGCAGCTTTGGTCTCTCATTAGAAATGTATCTTATCAAATAGTTAACTTTAGGATAAGTGTTCATTTAGATTTCCACAATGTGGTCTTTAATTGGAGGTAATCTCTATTTGGAACAGTACTGATTTGGATGGGGGTCATTAAATAGAGGTAGGCCTGTTACATGAGTACAGCAATAAAGACAAAAATATTTGTGAGAGATTGGCTAGTTTCTGGGAGATATTTACATGCTCGCAGGAGTGCGAAAGATAATCAGACTTCCGGGAGACAAATACTGTTTAAAAAAAATAATTTAGTGATGGAAAAGTCACTGGTTAAACTTTATTTTGCTGCACATATTAATACTCATCGGCACTGTTTTCTATGAAAAAAATTGATAATAAAGTAGTAAAAACATGCAGATATGAATTTGAGGAAGATTGGTTATTTCCAAAAAGGTTCTTGCTTGCTTGGTAGTTCGTTCCGATTTCCAGGGAGATGACAACGACGACGATGATGACAACAACAACTTCTTGCCGGAGAATTAGGAACCGAATACTTACAGCAACAGTCAATACTGTGTAGTATAGCCTGGTCAACTCCTAAAGCTTTGTCCAGCGACTGAGATGTTGAGATGCGCCTGGAGATGGTTGGGGGCGGGGCCTCTGCTTGAATGATGTCGTTATGGTGATTAGTTGGCGATGTACTCCTGTTTGTGTTCGCGTTTCCATCTTGATTGTTGTTCTCTGCAGCAGCCTTCTCTAAAGCTTTTGCCTTAGCAGCCTTTCAGGAAAAGTTCAAATAAGATGTCAGTTTTCAATAAATTGATTAAATTTATAGATTATTTTATTTCTATCCAACATAATCATTATTCATTATTAGTTTTAATATCATTAGTATTATTAATGACATCCATTCTGACTAAGCAATTAATTTTATTTAAAAGAGAACTAGCAAAATAATTTTTTGTTCTAGAGATGATTTTTGATATGCCATTAATAATAGTATCAACCCTAAAATCGTTTTTTGGCTTTTTTTTATGAAGTTATAGGCGATTATATACGATTTTACCATGACGTCACTGGCGAAAAAGTAACAAAAGATCGTGTAAATAGCGCCGCGTAGGGTATCTGCTGCGTATGATCTTTGCGTGTATGCTGTAACCATGGCTGTAAATTGTGATTGTTACAGCATGTATGCAAAGATCGTACGCGGCGGATACCCTACCCATATTTATATTTGGCCAATTAGCATACTCACCGCCACGAAAAATGAAATTTCACAAGAAAAAATGTTGCTTTATTTTTATTTTATTTTATTTTTGGGCCTACCATGTTGTTTAATACGACAAATAATAAATTTAAGTGTTAAAAATGTTGTAATAATAATAAAGATTTGTAAAGAGCAAACATCTCCACCTAAATAGGTGCTGGGCAGTGTCAAACAAGCAGTAGAGAAAAAAACAAGATACATATCACAAGAAGAAAATGTAACAAGACTCATCATTTTGACTTTTATATTGGTGCTATGCTGACCGCCCACTGCACGTAGAGGCTGCATTTTTTTTTTTTTTTTTTTTTAGGCAGTTTAGTTGATGGTGGATAATGAATAGCAAACATGGAGGTTTTCTTTTCGATTCCCACACGAACCAATTTTTTTTCCTTTAAGGCAGTTGATTTGATGATATATAATGAATGTATTGTACTCGTTGATGACGTCGCGAAATAACAAACAACAACGTGTCATGTCCAAGCCTAGGCTGTCATGGCTCACTGGCTCCTGTGTAATTCATGTTGAGCCAACTGCAGACGAAAAGGTTACAATCTTTTTAGAGATAAGCTGGAAGAAAGTTTTAGACAGTGCCTATCAATAGAAGGATTTTAATAGTGACGAATGGAAGTTAGCATGGCTGTAAATTGTGATTGTTACAGCATGCACGCAAAGATCGTACGCGGCGGATACCCTACGCGGTGGATACCCTACGGGCCGCTATTTACACGATCTTTTGTTAATTTTCGCCAGTGACGTCATGGTAAAATCGTATATAATCGCCTATAACTTCATAAAAAATAGCCAAAAAACGATTTTAAGGTTGATTCTATTATTAACGGCATATCAAAAATTAACTCTAGAACAAAAAATCATTTAGCTAGTTCACTTTTAAACTCAAATTCTATAATTATAATTCACTCATGACATCATTTTTATCTTCAATGAATTTTTCCTATCCCCGAGCATATGCTAATTTTTCTTTTGTGGATCCAACCAATTATACATGACTGCAAGGATTAGTCAATTTTTAGCCTGTAATTCTTACCTACATTTAAGAAAACTGCTTGCTCATAATAAATTCTAGAGATCCCAATCTAGGTTGGGCTTAGCTGAATGCATCAAGCAATAAGGTCACAAGATGTAGACTACACCCAAGCTTATCAAATGCTTGAAAAGCCTGGGCTAGATGAGCTTGTTTCAAAAACTGCATTCAAGCTATATGCACCATTACTTCAGGCAACTTTCTTTCAGGAAATATAGCACGCTAATGGTTGTACTTTTCTAACAGCACCCTAAAAACTGTTATTGTTGTTTTTGATACTGGTGTTGTATGTTGTTGTTTCTATAAATATTACTCAGTATTATAATGATAATATGATTATCTGTAATATTACCTGTTGCTGCGTTTGCAACAAATAGTTCTCATCATGGGCATCTTCCGCATCTCCTTGGTTTCTCTGCTGAGTTTTCACCATCTTCTCTCCAACGATCCCAAACAGCTGGGGGTAAAACAAACCCATTGGTGCCTGCAGTGTCTCATCACCCAGCTTCAGCTGGTACATTATCGTGGGGCTATTGGGATATCGCACATGAAAGTCCAGTAACTGGGTTCCATCCAGGTCCTAGAAGTGTTAACAAATTTGTTATTCATATTAGTTCTACTTTCATCAGAAACAAAATCGTTTAGATCTGAGTATCACTAATTAGAAGTTGTTAAATTATTTGGTCTTTCTTCTACTTGGTTTTACAAAAAAAAATTACATCAGATATATTTAAATGAACTGTATATTGAGTGCAAGAAAGTGATTTTGTACTCAACTCCCAGGTAAACTATATTATTAACTGACCTGATCTAAATGACAAAATGTTTCTTTAAGTTCTATTAATAGGAGGGCATCCATTGTTTTCTCCATCTGACATTCTCGATAAGGCATGTGCGCCCTCTGCAGTAGCGAGGTGAAGCAACGTGTGACATCACTTCCACCATATCCCATGCATAACCTGAAAATTATAATATTTTTTTTTAGTTTAATGCAATTCATCATTGACATTGTTTAAGGTTAATGGATGGAAATTAAACTTCAATATGATTGGAAGGACTAAAACATGCAACAAGCCAAACCAGTCACTCCTCGCAAAAATTGATTTTTAGTTATTAATACAGGGGTAAAAAGTAAAACGAAAGCTATAAAATGGTAAAAGAATCATTTAAATCAAACATTTTATTATGAAGGTACAGGAGTTTAACTCCTTAAGGAACAATATTTTTTGAGAAATCTGTCTTCAAAGTTTATGATTTTGGGCATTTCTAAGGTAAAAACCATTACCAAATCATTAAAAATTGTTTTAACATTGAAAATGGGGAAGATGACAACATAGCATGATGTATAGATATATAAAGGTTTAGTTTAATGCGCAATAAAATAGATTTAAAAAATGTTGACATTCTAGCATGTTTTGGCCATTATCTCTGAAACACGATTTGCGACGAGTGACTGGTTTGGCTTGTCTTGGCCAAAAATATGATCATGATGACATCACATCATGACCATATATGGGCATACAACAGTTTTTTTGTCAAAGAAAATTTGATAGCTTGGACAGGGCTTAAGAGAGAGATTAAGATGCAGAGATTAGTCCATTTAAAAAAAATGTGGTTTCAAATGTTTTATTGTGATTTTATTGTGATCTATATCATAGATGAATAAAGCTCAGTAAAAAAAAATACTGAGATGACATTGATTTAGAGTTTTTTTTTCTATGCAAAACACAAAGCTAACCCACGAAAGTCTGAAGACTTATTTCTAATGGGCATTTCGGGCTGTGATGGGTAGCACACCAAGAGACAATCCCCTACTCTTTTCCGAAGAGTGTACTGCTTTCGTTATACTCACACAGGGATAATGGCCAGCACCTCACTCCGATATAGAGAATGCGCTATAATATACTTGTATTTCAGCCCTCTAGCTTGGAACACAACAAGAGCAAAATAGGATTAGACCAGTGACCAAAGGTCGGAAAGGATCTCAATGGTTCAGCACACACACACACATTAGCTACCACATTTAGGAAACCAAGCTAAGCAAACTCACATTTTGAATATATTGAAAAATATTATACACTCCTAATTTAGAAAATATTTACATAATGAAAAGTAAAACATTCCCAGTTACAATCTTGAAAACTACAAAACAAAAATATTTTTACCTTGAATTGCGATTGGAGAGACCATCTTCAACGCACGATATACTTGTTTTCTGATCACCAACGTCTACAACACAAGCACTTGATATCCCACTACCATACAATGCACAGACTGATTCCTGATAAAGCGTCAGAATAAAAACAAAAAAAAAATTTAATTATTCTCAATTTATAAACATGCGAAAAGCTTCCAGCGTGGAAGCAAAAGTCACTAACAAAGTAAATTTTAAAAAGAATTAGGATTTTAATAAATAAAGAATTAACAATTATGAATAATATATATATAGTTACGAAGGACTTTTTAACCTAGGAATAAAATGTGAAGTAAATAAATGACTAAATGAACGGATGGATGGACATTGCAACAAGTTAGATAGGCCTCCCTCGAACTGCAGTGGAGCCTCCAAATTTGTTATAAGCGCTGTGACGCTTTTAATGTCATTTACGATACTACAAACCTGGTGAATTATGGCCGCCCCAAATCCGAGTCGTGTTAGCACCAAATTCATTAGCTCTTTTACGTGAGGGCGACAGTAAATATCTGGTACAAGTAAAACAACTTTATAGTTCTGTGTATGAAAAGAAAGAAACAACAAATATTAAATATTAATAATGTACAGCCCTTTAATTTCGCGGCCCTATATTTTCACGGTTTTAGAATTTGAAACATTTCGCGTACTTTTTATTTTCACGATTTTATGATTTTCAGTCGTTCTTAACTTGATGCAGAAACCTACCATTATGTTTGTTTTAGCCTATATATAGCTAGAGCTACTGATTTGGTGGGTTTTCCTGATAGCAAAGGGCATACAAAAATAAAGGGCTAAAATACAATAGCACTTTCAGGAATACAGACTGTAACTAGAGCAGTCACTCAATACCTCTGCCTGCATGCCGAACAATACACAGACTATGTATGGGTGATTCCATTTTTTTTTCTTTTATGTTTGAGGGTACGTTCAAGAGAAAAAAATTGAATTTCTATGACCTTGACCTTTAACCATTTCTTCCCAAAATTTAATCATCTCTTTCTTAGATTTCCGGTATTTTGCACCATTCTCCATTTTTTTTTAAGTTTTGAAAAATGTAGGGTTGCCCAGACCTGCTGGATCCCCCCTGAACCCACCACTGCATATCGTCACTTATGATTAGGCCTAGTACTATGATACAGTATATCAAGTAGAGTAAATGTAACACATCTCCTTACACAATACTTGGTTACCTTGGATTACAGAAAATAGTAATGGGGTCCAACCATTGTTTTCAATATCTTTAGTATCTAAACTTACTTTAAAGTCTTTGCTTGGAATGTCCAACTTGGTTTCTATTATGGCACTCCATATTGTTTCCATATCTTGAAGGACAGCTGTTATACTGCCACCCACGCCAGCATGGAGATTAAATCTACCTTGTCTGATTGGCCAATGTATATGGTAACTTTCATTTGGATCTAAATACAGAGCCTGAATTAAAAAGGTGCAAAACGTTTTACTGGAATTTTATTTAATTGTATATATAGCTTGCCCTCAAATTTAAGACCCCTCTAATTCAAGATCACTTTTTCCAAGTACTACAGTATAACATTCTTCATCCTGTCAACAAAAATGTAACCCTCTAATTGAACCCTGAGACCACCTTAAATGTTTAGGTTCCAACGGTGGTCTGGACTTGAGGGCAAACTGTCATATTTTTTTTAATCATTTAAGCTCTGTTAGATTATCAAATTTTCTTTGACATAAAAACTGTTGTATGCCCATATATAGTCATGATGTGCCTATATATGGTCATGATGTGATGTCATCATGACCATATTTAGGCATGTCACATGTTTTTGTCAAATAAAACTGTATAGTCTGGAGATGTGGACCAATGAAGAATGTTGACTGGTAATTTATTTTCAAAAATAGATAAATTATAAGCTAACAAAAATAACCAAATTTTGATTGGTGAATTGCTGAATGAATTATAAACTAACAAACCTCTTCTCCAATGAAGAACTCTGACTGTTCACTGTTCGGTGTCCAAGTCAAACCAGAGTTATCATCCAGAGTCTGTGGCTGGACCTCATCATTGTAATTAGTAACCTAGTAAATAATACATTGTTTAGCCTACTTATTACCATTATATGTCATTCATAAAATTGTTTGTATGGTATGTTTTTCTTTGGTGTGCAACACACCAAAGCAGGAGTCTCCAGCTGGAAGAAGCCAATTCTGGCAGATCTGGTTTGAAATTTTCCTAATTTTATTTTGCCGCGTGTGGTGATATCGACTGTATCGGCATTCACTTCTGAATGACAGTTGATAATCAGTGTATTAAAAACATGCAAACATCATGAATTTGAGGGAGATGGGTTATTTTCAGCGAAATACATGCTTGCTCGCGTGAGTGCAGGAAGCCTCCCAATTTCTGAGACTCTCATGACTTGCCGTAAACTTAGGACCCGGGCTGCCAATGTTTGCCCATGAGAGGCTGTAGAATTATATATGGTGTGGTCATTCTGGAAGAATTAAGCCGCAATCGCACTGGATTTAAAATAGGGAAATTTTTACCGAGACTGTGGGTAACATTCGAATGGGTAAACTTCCTGCCGTTCGCACTGGGATTTATCGACGTGGTTAGTTTTACCAAAGGCCATGGTGAAACTAACCATTCATACAGATTCAACTATTGGGGGCGCTAAATCGTGACGTTCACTTCCGGTATGTGTGGCAAAACAATTAACGAAAGCGCGCGCGCGCGGCATTTCGAGAGGCTAGGCTCGCTTTTGGGTATCAACAATGGATGCGGTAGCAAAAGCAACAAAAAGAAAATCTACAGCAGAAAACAACGCAGCAAAAAGGAAGCGAAATTGGACGCATGCACGAAATTAATCAAGATGTTTGTGTGTGACGTTTTATTCCAGGTCACAGCTCATGCGTAATTGCCTGACAGCCTGAGGAAGGTCATCATTGTGATGACTTGGGAAGTTTACCCGACTCGCGCTGTTCGCATTGGACTTTCCTGCTAGGTAAAACTAACCTGGTCAGTTTTCCTGGGCAAGCGGGACTCGGTTAAATTAACCGCGCGGCTTGGGTAAGTTTCCTGTCAGGTAAACTTCCTGTGCTGTTCGCACTGGACTAACTATGGTAAAACTAGCCAACGTGTTGGTTAGTTTTACCAAAAAAAGTCCAGTGCGATTGTGGCTTTAGACAGTAGTCCTCTGCTCTTTTCCAAAGAGTGTATGATATTCTTTAACATGCCAATATAAATATTGACCAAAAAAAAATTTAAATTGATAATTAATAGACATTGATTATTAACTAACCTCTGACAAAGCAACGTTTTGTCGTCGTTGACCTGATGATGTCTTTTTAGCCCATATTGCTTGCTGCACCATCTTTAAGGCATGCTGTTTTTGGCTGTTGCTGTTAGGGTGCTACGGAAGTCAACAACAAACATGAGGTGAGCCACCACCAGTAATTCCTTAAAAGTCTTATCAACTCTATTTTACATTACATTCATTTACTAAATTACAACAAAACAGGCCCTCTATGTACAGTACAACAGCAGCAGCATCATCAACAACAAAAACAGGAATAATAGCAATATCGATACTAATTGCAACAACAATACAAACAGCAGCAGCAACAACAACAGCAATCAACAATAAAAATAATATAAATACTGTATATTCAGGCATATAAGGCGATCTGCATAATATCGACGACCCCCAAATTCGAGAAGATTTTTCGACGATTTTTGTATGTCAACCCATAAGACGACCCCTCCCCCACCACCCCGCTATTTCAGCATCAGAGTTCCAACTTTTTGCTGCTCTTTATGATCTTGATAATGCATCTAGCTGGTTAGAAACGGAGCCAAATTTAGGGCTAATCTTCCAAATAATACTATTTTATAGGCTTTTAAATGTTTATTAAAATCATATTTCCCCGCATTTACAATTTCGTTCATTTATACTAACAGTAGTAGTTTCATTTCAGTAATAAAGTTGCGTGTTATGGATGATCCCCACATAAGACAAACATGATTTAAAAATCAAAAGTTTGATGCCTCAACCCCCTGTTTTTTCATAGTAATTTTTCTATTCTAAGAAATAATTAACACGCAATAATATATGGTAGCTACATGCTGTGAAATGTGAGGAATAAAATGATACAATGAAGACAACAACCTACGTTTATTCCATGTCTTATTATCAATTTGTCCTCAAAATTCTGACTACTCTCTCTCTGCTTTGGTTTCCTGGCAATCACATGAGGTACTGACACAGGGTAGGCATCAGTGGCTCGGCCAATTCTTATCCAGTAAGATCCAGGGTGTATGATGAGAATGTTGTTTCCAAAAACTGGTTCCGAAGCCTTAAAAATCAAGAATATGGTATAATAAAAAAAGTCTTTTTTATTTGATTTAAAGAATTTCTAATGCAGTTGGCCTGATGTCACTTTTATGAGAAGCCGCTTCCATCTAGGGCTTGAACATAGCATAGACCAGTTTACAACCTGTCAAGCGCAAGCAGCGGTATTTATGCATGGCTGGCCGAGAATGGTCAAACATTCAACCACACGGTTCAAAGGCTGAACCAAACTGCCGTCTCCCACTTAGTTACGAATCTGTGGACCTCATTACAAATAAAACAAAAATTGCTACAAAATATTAGTAAATTATTGGTTTTTTTTTATGTAAGCATAAAGTGTTCTGGGACATAGTTGTGTAGTGTGCTATAAATACAGACATATTATTTTATTATTATTCTACATTAAATAAACAAAATTATATGAACCATTTGGTAGGTAACGTCCAAAGTGGAAGAGTTATAACATGGACCTATTAATATTAATAGGTCCATGGTTATAATATATTATTTTAAAAGTTATCCAAAACACAACTGGAATTCCTAGCTGATAAATTTATAGGAGTTATGGTAAAATATGATTAAAGAATGAATAAAATGTTTTTAGTTCTTTAGTTGCATTTTACAGTAAAATAATTGTAAAAATAGGCAAATTCAAATATTTGCAGATCTTATGTGAGTCACACTAATATGCAATTCTTCACTCTTGAACACTTCTTAATAAATGCTTGCAGATTTGCTGTACTGAGCATATTTATGAATACAATCATTGGATTAAGTCAGAGTTCTTAAGTTCTACATAGTTGCTACGGAAATTTTGCCTGTTTACAAACGTACGGAAATAGACAAAAATACTACTGAAATTTATCATAGCCTAGATACATAAATAAATAAGTCTAATGTCCAGAGTAAATGACTTTTCCATCAGGATCTGTGGTTACATTGTCCCTTAACAACTTAATACTTTGCCAGATTACTGAAAGATTATTGTAAAAACTAAATGGCCCATCTTGTTTGTTTGAAATTCCATGGCTATTATTATGTTTTACCTGTAATTTAAGGAACCCATATTTTACACTCAAGACAAATAATTGTTTAAGGTGCTACAGAAATTTTGTATATACAATGGATATTCGAAGACATGGTTAGTGAAATGCATATTACTAATTTGTGAAGTCATTTAAGTGTTATACTTACCTCAGGCGCCTGTTCATTGCTACTTTCTTCCTGTTCCATTACGTATTAACTTTAACAATTATGTCCTACATCCAGAGATCTTTAAAAAAAAAAACCAAACAAGTGCAGTGGTTTTGTGAATCATACTAATTTCCAAGCCACATTTCCAAGAGACATTTAGTGGAAAATTTGTAGATCGTGTGGAAAAAATTTAATAGCATGTTAGGCAAGACTTTTTTATACTTTTCATGAACTTGGTTGTTGAAAGATTGTAGGAGGGTGGAAGAAAAATAAAAATAAAATTTAGTTTTCTTATCTAGCAGATGGTTTTGCCAATAACATTCAGACAGAAGTCTCAGAAGAAAATAAAAATAAAATGTTATTGTTGAATGTAAACAGTCTAGTAATGGGATGGTTAAATGCTTTAAATTTATATAATTAGGAAGATATATCTTGTTTTTGGAGATATTAAGGCAGCGGTGGGTGTAATAAAAGTAAAGAAAAACTTTAATTTTTTTTTCGGAAATTTCCATTTTTTCATTGTGTCAGTTGTGCTTATTAAAAAATAAAACTTCATTCTAGGTATTTTTATTTGATGTAACATCTGCACGGTTAAAATACTGTATTTTACTGTATGATAAGGTATCTAAGTGGTGTAGGCCTACCGTAAGCATTCAAATTAATAGTTAATAATAATTTTATAATAATTATTATACTAGTAACAACAGTAATAACAAAAATATCTACAAAAAACTATAGAATAATAATTAACAAGATATTAAAATAAATAAAATAAGGAAATGAAATTAAATAAAAATAGTATTGCTGCCATGATCAGAATTGAACCTAATTCGGACAGAACGAATCATACCTACTTGTATCGAATGAAGGAAACAACAAGGCTTATCAGCACTTTTTTTTTCAACAGGTTTCTGATTGGCTAGGGCTACTGTGCGTTCGTTTTTCTGAAATCACCATGAAAAATTCAAGGAAATCTGCAACAAAACTAAAAATATACAATTGGCAGGCTGATTTTTTTACTTTAATCATCGGAATAATTAGTTAAAAACCTAAACACTATAGCTTGCATAGCATAGGCCTAGATCTAACTAAATAGTAATACTGTACAATATAAGCTGGCATCTCGGTCGGTCCCAATTGGCCAAAAACTGGGACCAACCCTGTGGCTCCCTTATCCATCACCGCGAGTGTAGAAATTCGATCAACAAAAAATAAAAATGTGATGGGCCTAGCCTAGCCAACGTTTATATATATGTGCGACAAGGGCAACAACTCATCCATGGCCTATGCCTAAATTTCACCACATCACTAGAGATGTGGCATGTTACAAATAATGCGTGTAAATAGTGGTTGTTTGGCCTAAGCCTACCTTTTAATCATCAAATGTACAAAACAATCTCTTCGCTTCACGCAACCACTCCACAAAAACAAACAAAACAAAAACACATGTGTTACAGCGCCCTCAAACAAACACCAACCACAGTTACACCATTTCTCAATGGTTACAAGTGACCACTACTTGGGTTTACCCAAGATCTTGGGTATTTTGACATTGTCTTGGTTCTTGGGTATTCCGTTCAAATCCTTGGGTATTTTATTTTTACTAAGAAAATTAAATATTTTGTCATAGAGGAAGAATTAAGAAGTAACAAAGTATATTTCAGTCCATTCAAGTAAGCAAAACTCAACGAAGTGCACATAACATATTGTTAATTGACTGTTAATTGCGTATAAACATGGGTTGATTCAGAATTGTTTATTTGTGATTTGCGTTGCCATTGATCTTACCTAATTAATGCATTACATAATAAAACTTGATCAATGATCTACACTGATAACACTGGCCGACTGATGGCGTATTTTTCTATCCGTATTATTACGGATGAATATTCATCTTAATAATTAACACAAACAATTACAATAAAAAATGGTTTATAAATTGAACTAAAAGGGAAACTATACATGCGAAAAACACGTATTTTTCAAATTTTAATGCATTTTCAGGAAGCTTTGGTAATTTTGGGCAATTTTTGCTGAATCTTGTGTAATTTCGACCCAGTCATTGTGTATCAAAAATTGTGAGTGGTCACGCTGATGGTTACACACTAACGGCGGTCGTAAATGTTTCAATTTTGTAAGTTAAAAAACCTCCTGAAAAAATCCTGGGAAAGAAAACACTCATTTGTAGTGTATGAGAGTACATTATGATTGTTTGGAGAATAAAATTAAAGAATCATCCATATTTTCTTTCCACAGTAGAAAAGTATTGGAAACAACTTCAATAAGAATTTAAGGTATTACATAGCAGAAGTTCGTTTATAAGGTGAGCACGCACAATGTTCAACTTGTGATTTGCGTGCAGATGTAGGGCACTACGCTACCTGCCCGTTCGATTAAAAAATAAACGTAACTTTAATTGAAAGTCATATACTGCAAATTATTTTGTTTGTTTTATTATTTTCTGTACCATACAAAGGAATTTATTTGTTTTTGATTGGTCTAAACACTCTCTAAAAGCCATTTATTTTAAAGGTCTAAAAGGTAATCAACATACCAAATCCAACCAGGCAGAACACGAAGCCAATTACCAGTCGAAACTAAATTCCAACTGGGATGATAATACACAAGAAAAGTAATACATTCTTATGTAAAAACAAACTATGTGACGACCTACGTAAATACTATTTGCTTCAATAACACAAATATTGTCATTATAATCCTGTTTTTATTATTATTATTATTGTTATTATTATTATTAGTATTATTATTATTTCACATATAACAACAGAGAGGACACTCACAAAATACATGATGGGATGATGTTATATGAAGCCTCATTAAATATGAGGCTTATTATTATTATTATTATTATTATTATTATTTCACATATAACAACAGAGAGGACACTCACAAAATACATGATGGGATGATGTTATATGAAGCCTCATTAAATATGAAGCCTACTGGAATGGAGTTGTTTTTAATTATGCGAAAATACCCTGGTGTAACAGGCATGATTTAAACCCAACCCTGGGATTAGAAGAAGGCAGCTTAACCACCAAGCTACAGTTCCTCTCTAGATAGGATGCAAACTAGATGTTTTTTTTTTGTTTTTTTTTGTTAACATTTTATACATTAAGCCTTCGTATATTACCTACATAATTAGATGTTTGTATACTGAAAAAGCTTGTGGGCCTAATTTATGGTAGGCCTTCTAATTGCCTTAGTAAAACTTATGAAATTTAAATGAATACATTATAAATATCATATTAAAAACCCATTTATACAAAGCAGGGGCGGATCCAGGGATGTCGAAAAAGCGGGGGCGAAAGGGGGCCGAAAGTTGGACCGATGGAGATAACACCACTATAGGGGGTCCGGGGGTATGCCCCCACAAAATTTTTGTTTTCTAAACACCCGAAAATAACCTCTGAGGCGTTTTAGGCAATCATTTTTTTCTTTTTCTTTCTTTCTTTTTTTTTTCTCCCCCTTTTTTTTTTTTTACTTTTCCAAGCTCGCTCCCACCTAAATCCGCCCCTGCAAAGCGACTATAAGCACCTACAAATTAAAGTTATACTAAAAAATGTACCCTTTTCAAGTAAGTATAAAAATATATTTTAAAATAGAATCTTGACCAGTTTGGAAATGTCCAATACGGTTTTAAACCAGAAATTATACAAGTGTACAAGAATCTTCTTTTTTACAGTTTTCAGATCCACATTAAAATCAGTTGCTTGTAAAATATTACTGAACCAGTGCAGCAACTGATTGCGATGATGTTGATTGGTTGAAAGTTTCATTAGACTCTCTAGTACAGGTATTTTCATGAAAATGTGTACTTTTCGTCGACGAAGGTTTCACGTCTGGCTCATTACCAATTGTTTTTAAAGCACGCATTGGTAAGTTTAAAGTAGTAGAGATATTATTTCCATTGAATTCTGACGCGGTTACTGGGGCAGTTGCTACAGTTTGTACAGGTCTCTGGTGTCTATCTCCACCTGCAGACAGAGTACTGTTCATAGGAACTTGCTCAGTGTTGCAAGAATCAAACGCAGTTTTAGCACGTTTGCTGTAATCCAGCGATTCAATAGTTTCTTTTTCTGGTCCACGGTACCAATTAAGACAATCAGCAACCGTAGTTCTCATAAATGGTGCTGACTTTACGCGCGACCGTCGGAGATTTGTCAAACCTTCTCTTGGTCGATCATAAATCGATTTATGCCGGGGGTTGATGAATTCGAATGATTTTTCCAATGGGGGAGGTTCGTCGTTTACCTTTCCCGTATACATATTTGTGTTCACGCTTGGATTTGGTTGCAGATGTTGGTGGACAAAATTGTATGTTGTTAGTGGTTTACTTTCGACGTCTAATTCTGGGTATAATGCAGGTGCACTGCGCACTGTATTCAGGTTGGAAGACTTGGGAATATTTACGGAATGGAGGAGGTTTTGTGAAATTACTTCTCCTTGCGATCGCCGGAACGCATCGCGATATGAAGAGTATGCAGGACCGGCCTCTATGATTTCCTTTTTATGCGGTACCCATGAAATGAAGTCTGGTGAAAATCTGCTTTTGTAATTGCTTTGTACTTTCTTCTTGCCCAGACCCTAAACAAGTATAAAAAACGAATTTTTAAAAGTAACCTCTATAGGCTTTTGCTAAAACAGTAATGTTAATAAAGAACATATAAGAATAACATAAAGAACTAAAATTACTAAACTCGACATGAAAACGATCACATGCTATATTTTTAAAGTTATAGTGTTATACTTTTAAAACTTACTGTATAATTTTAAGACAATGCACATTGAGTACCCACATGTTGGGAGGAGATGTGCGCCTTAAAAATCCTTATTATTATTAATATTTATTTATTTATTTTAAAAAACAGCTTGTAGGCCTAATAGATTACTTGTAGTCTGCTGGTAGAATGTGAATTGTTTTATGTTGTTAAGGGTGGTTACGCCACTTTTCCTCAGTTAGCCTATTAAATATTTTGACATTTGTTTCTCATTAAACGTTCCCCGAGATTTTCGTCAAACACCCTTCTTAAATCAGTTGTACAACATATCAATTTTTTTCATCAGGAGCCTGGCTTTAAATACGTCATTGCAGACATTAATAGAATTTTAAAATCTAAATCTCTTTGCTTCAGAGAGCACAGTAATGTTATTTAAAAAAAACATCTTGTAGGCCTAATAGATTACTTGTAGTCTGCTGGTAGAATGTGAATTATTTTACGTTGTTAAGGGTGGTTACGCCACTTTTCCTCAGTTAGCCTATTAAATATTTTGACATTTGTTTCTCATTAAACGTTCCCCGAGATTTTCGTCAGACACCCTTCTTAAATCAGTTGTACAACATACCATTTTTTTTCATCAGGAGCCTGGCTTTAAATACGTCATTGCAGACATTAATAGAATTTTAAAATCTAAATCTCTTTGCTTCAGAGAGCACAGTAATGAACTTACGAAAATTCAAGTACTGTACAGCAGGTGATTCCATGATTGCAGGCTTTGATCCTCTCTGTCAGTACACCTCTTTTTCTGGTCCACGGTACCAATTAAGACAATCAGCAACCGTAGTTCTCATAAATGGTGCTGACTTTACGCGCGACCGTCGGAGATTTGTCAAACCTTCTCTTGGTCGATCATAAATCGATTTATGCCGGGGGTTGATGAATTCGAATGATTTTTCCAATGGGGGAGGTTCGTCGTTTACCTTTCCCGTATACATATTTGTGTTCACGCTTGGATTTGGTTGCAGATGTTGGTGGACAAAATTGTATGTTGTTAGTGGTTTACTTTCGACGTCTAATTCTGGGTATAATGCAGGTGCACTGCGCACTGTATTCAGGTTGGAAGACTTGGGAATATTTACGGAATGGAGGAGGTTTTGTGAAATTACTTCTCCTTGCGATCGCCGGAACGCATCGCGATATGAAGAGTATGCAGGACCGGCCTCTATGATTTCCTTTTTATGCGGTACCCATGAAATGAAGTCTGGTGAAAAACTGCTTTTGTAATTGCTTTGTACTTTCTTCTTGCCCAGACCCTAAACAAGTATAAAAAACGAATTGTTAAAAGTAACCTCTATAGGCTTTTGCTAAAACAGTAATGTTATTAAAGAACATATAAGAACTAAAATAAAGAACTAAATAAACTAAACTCGACATGAAAACGATCACATGCTATTTTTTTAAACTTACAGTATTATACTTTTAAAACTTACTGTATAATTTTAAGACACTGCACATTGAGTACCCACATGTTGGGAGGAGATGTGCGCCTTAAAAATCCTTATTATTATTAATATTTATATATTTATTTTTAAAAAAACATCTTGTAGGCCTAATAGATTACTTGTAGTCTGCTGGTAGAATGTGAATTGTTTTACGTTGTTAAGGGTGGTTACGCCACCTTTCCTCAGTTAGCCTATTAAATATTTTGACATTTGTTTCTCATTAAACGTTCCCCGAGATTTTCGTCAAACACCCTTCTTAAATCAGTTGTACAACATATCATTTTTTTTCATCAGGAGCCTGGCTTTAAATACGTCATTGCAGACATTAATAGAATTTTAAAATCTAAATCTCTTTGCTTCAGAGAGCACAGTACTGAACTTACGAAAATTCAAGTACTGTACAGCAGGTGATTCCATGATTGCAGGCTTTGATCCTCTCTGTCAGTACACCTGAGTTAACCCAGTTAGATCAATATTGACAAATTTCAATCATTTATTTGTTGCATAACAGGAACACCAGCTTAATGTTTCTTTAATTATCTCTAGTCGTTGGAAAATAAAGTCACACCACCAACACTACGATCGGTTAAGAATTTTTATTGTGAAATTGCAAATATATTAACCTACATTGTGCATTGTTTTCATTTACATTGAAAGTAAAACTATATTGAAATACCTACATCTTGGAATGAGTCTACAGTGTTGAGAAAGGAAAACCTGTTGTCATGCTTGGAAAAATGATGGATGGTTGGTCTTTCCTATTAAAAAAAAAATCGATTTAAATTTTTAAAACCTACAACAATTAAAATGTAAAATATTTAGTACCATTTAAAAAGAGGTGAACTACAAACCCCACCAGAAAAAAAAAACAAAAAACAAAAAACGAGAGGTAGGAATTTAAAGATTAAAAACTTTTCTTTTATTTGCTCAAATCAACACCACCCCCCCCCCCCCACACACACCCTCCAACACAAAAAAAGACAGAGAGAAGAAAAGAAAATGAGGAGGAAGAATGAAAAAGAAAATGCTATTGATATCTTTATAAAACTAAAGTTGTGTATTTATATTGATTTTATTGTAACAATCGACTTTTGGAGGTGTTGTTTTTGTTTCTCTTTAACCAAATCTAAATTAAAAATGAATGAAAATCCAACAAACCTTTAATAACTTTGAAAATTTCTGTGGAGGGCTAGGTTTTGATTGGTTCCTGTATTCATTTACAAAATCATTCCTACTACGACTTCTGAAGTGTCCATGGTAACCAGACGCAAACTGCAAGAACGTGATGTCAAATTAGACAATTTTTTTGCAGCATGATATATGAGATACGAAATAAATACTAATTTTTGAACCCTTCTATTTATATTATATAGGCCTACATATAATAGGCCTATTTATAGGACCTACATGTATATTAATACGTACACGCATATGAAT